CCCCGAGGAAGCACCGACGAGGCTCGATTAAGCCCCGGAAGTGACAGTGGAAACGCGACTGGCCCTGGCACTCACTAGCACGCCCGCTTTTGGCCCGACAGTGGAAACACGGCTATTGTTTTTTTTATTCGAGTCAGACTTGTCTGTTACTGCCTTAAGCAAAGGGCTCCACCCCAGAAGTTTGAAAAGTGCCCGTCAAACACCGGCTCGCTCTTTTTCTTCATTGGCGCCTCCTTTGTCTATTTTTTTTTTTTTGTACTTTGTACTTTTGGTGAAAAATAAATGTAGCGAAGTTGAATACTTTAGTTTTATTCTACTCAAGTAAAAGTACCACAATTTAATTATACTCAAGAAAAGTAGAAAAAATTTAAAAAAAATGCACTCAACTACTATAACGAAAGTATTTGTAATTAGTTACTTTCCACCTCTGAATAAATGAACGCAATGTTGGCCAATCCACTGCAAAAACTATCATTGTGACCGTAAAAATATTGCCTTTTATCGTTTTCCTAAAGACCCTGACAGGTAATTATTCACAAAAGTGTAAAAATATTGTGTGTTCTGTAGGACTGCCACTAACGGCTATTTTTACTTCGATTAATCTATCGACTAATTTATCGATTAATCTAAACGATTAATTTCTCACTTTAAAAAATCAACCATTTTACTTAAGAATATTTTATTAAACCAAATGAAATCCAAATTTCTATGAAATCCTTTTTTTAAAGCAAAAGTAAAGTGCAAAAGAGTGCAAGCAGCAAGTGTCCATCTCATAGTCCAAATCACTGAAATCAAAGTTCAGTATTATAGTGTAAGAATTACAACATATCCACATGTTCTAGTCTACTACTAATAAAATTATAATAAATTTTAAAAAACACTTTTTAAAGGAGTATTTACCAGAAATGTTATTTACCTGAATTTATTTAGGAGAAAAATGTAAATGTGCAGTATTTCTAGGGAATTATTTTTTTTAAAATAAAAATCAATTAATTGGAAATGCTTTTGATTATTAAAATTTAATGTAACCATTCAAATGGAATCCATAAAATGATGGAAAACAGAATTTGGTAGAGATAAAACTGTAAAACTCAATTATTTAGACAGGCTTTTTGATTAATAACATTTTATTTAACCATTAAAACAGAGTATAGAAAAATTTAAATGGAGAAAAAACTGAATTTGGAAATCAAACGGATTTCATAGGGCCCTATAATTAGAATGACTTTTTTTTGTGGTAATAAAAAGAGATGTAAGTGAACAATAGCCTTTAAAATGACTTAAAATACATATATAATAGCAATGAGGCAATAATAATTAGTTCAAATAAAGTATCAAAAGCAAGAAATCATATGGTTTTATTGAACAAAGCTGTTAAAGGGGTCATATGATGTTGCTAAAAAGAACTGCGTTTATGCGGTTGCTAAAAAGAAATGCTTTATGCGGTTTAAGGTTAAAAAAACACATTATTTTCCACATACTGTACATTATTGTTTCTCCTCTATGCCCTGCCTTTCTGAAACGAGTCGATTTTTACAAAGCTCATCTTTCTAAAAAAGCGAGGTGTGCTGTGATTGGTCAGCTATCCAGTGCGTTGTGATTGGCCGAATACCTCAAGTGTGTGACAGAAATGTTACGCCCCTTACTATATTGTGATGATGCCCTGTCAGGCCAGAGCGATGATTCAAAAACATGAAAACCCATTATAAATGAGGCATTCGTTGCATCCAGTGTGGACAAAATGATAGATTATAATGACTTATACTGTCTTTTTACGTGTTGCGTTGCATCGCGCCGTGTAAACATAAAACTATGTCTGCATTTGTGATCGGAGAAATGACAAACAAGCCCTACTCTACTACACTGGCCAAAAAACTAGCTTTAAATATATAAAATATAAAAACTCTTTAAATATAAAAGACGTACTTACAGTCTGTGAGTCAGAACAGCCGGCATTGTAGTCTACTCTCCCAGGATCAGGAAACGGTCCTCCATAAAATGTGCTGCACACATCTGAATATTTGGGTTGAAGGTGCGTCCGGCAGGCTTGCAGCAACCACATGTGACGACCCCGGGCTGGACTCTGCTTCGTCCACGGTGAAAGCCGATCCGGCGGCAAAGTTGTAGTATTTCCTCAGCAACCAGCACGGATCAGCTCCAGGCATGAGGAAGCAGATATCATCCTCTTTTGGAAGGCCAAACAAAGTAGTTTTGCTTTCTCAACGAATCACACAGTGCCTTCACGATATGGCGGCGGCAACAACAATACTACAGCAAGAATAAAAGTTACGCCTTCTTTCTTTGCATGAACATTTGGGCAGCATTATGCAAATCTTCCCACATAGTGATGTAGATATGTGGGGGCGTGTTAGAACGAGCCGTTTTAGGTAGGCGTGGCTGACTCTTAACTTTTATAAAGAATATCTCTTTGGATTTGAGTCTTTAGTCTTTGCAACTTGACAGACCTTCTTTATGCACCAAGAGCTTGTAACACTTCAACGAGAAAGGAAAAATTTTAATCGCATCATATGACCCCTTTAAAATACATAATGTACAATAAAAAAATAGAGCTAATGTACATTACGCATTACAACAAAGGCCTGCAGAGGGCGCCAACGGCCTGATGATTATTTTTACACATTACTGTGTGATCTAATACTTGTTTAATATTGACCAAGCACCATTTAATTCAAATGTCCACTTAATCTTTAATATTTGGCCATTTCTTTAGGACAGAAATGCTATAGCCACTGTAATTAAAAGAATATGTGGACATCAAAACGTGTAAACTCAGAGTGAGGGTTTGAGCTTGTATTTTGAAGCCACGATGTATTCTCCTGTGTTTGCGTAGATTTATAAATGATTTACCTTACAAATCTGATGAAATCAATTTTTAAATGGGTTTAATATCATGCAGCCTTGGGAAACAGTCTAATAATGTGTTTTATGGATTCTCGCCCGTGAAATGCGCCACTTACGGTATTTTGCCGGTTAGTCGATGCGAGCAAAATTAAGTTGAGGATTTTTAAAAATCTAATACTCTAATAAAACCGACGAATTGCGACAGCCCTAGTGTTTTAAATTGGGACGTCGAGCTATCTTATGCACCTGCTAACTTTAACTGTTTTTAGTCTAGTCGTAAACTTAAATCCTTTTAGGAACTGCAGGTCCTAGCCATAGAAACCATAATAATGATTTATATGGATTTGACACCAAGTAATGATGAGCTTATGCAACTTTACACATTTACAATTACTTACTATATTATGATTTACTATTACTTCACTAGGTCTGAAATATATATTGTACGTTTTAATCCCCTGGAACACACTACAAACCTGATGATCTAGATTAGAACATTTATTGTGCGTCATTCATTATGTATTGTTGTGTCTGACATAATTAAATAAACAATTTTGGAGAAAGTGGCTGTATGTGTGTGTGTTTTGTTTACAGTCTTCCTTTAAAGGGGTCATATGATGCGATTTAAATTTTTCCTTTCTCTTTGGAGTGTTACAAGCACTTGGTGCATAAAGAAGATCTGTAAAGTTGCAAAGACTAAAGTCTCAAATCCAAAGAGATATTCTTTATAAAAGTTGAGTCAGCCCCGCCTACCTAAAACGGCTCGTTCTAACACGCCCCCACATATCTACGTCACGATGTGGGAATATTTGCTTAACACCGCCCAAATGTTCATGCAAAGAAAGGCGGCATAACTTTTATTCTCGCTGTAGTATTGTTGCCGCCGCCACCATGTCGTGAAGGCGCTGTGTGATTCGTTGTGAAAGCAAAACTACTTTGTTTGGCCTTCCAAAAGAGGACGATATTGCTTTGTCATGCCTGGAGCTGATCCATGCTGATTGCTGAGGAAATACAACAACTTTGCGCTGTGGCTCGCCAGATCGGCTTTCACTGTGGACGAAGAGGAGTCCAGCCCGGGGGCGTCACATGTGGTTGCCGCAAGCCCTCCGGACGCTCCTTCATCGAATCCGTCGGCCGCACCGTTCTCAAGGCCAACGGCCTCTGCTCACTCTAGGCCGCCGTGTGTGACGCTGTGCTTCGTTGTGAAAGCGAAACTACTTTGTTTGGCCCTCCAAAAATGGACACGACTAGAAATCAGTGGTTAAGTTGTATTTACAACACTGTTCCAGAACACTTCAACCCAAATATTCAGATGTGTGCAGCACATTTTATGGAGGACCGTTTCCTGATCCTGGCAGAGTAGACTACAATGCCGGCTGTTCTGACTCACAGATTGCAAGTACGTTTTTTATATTTAAAGAATTTACCACTGATGATTCAAATGCGAGTTTTGAGCAGTGTAGAGTAGGGCTTGTTGTTTGTCATTTCTCCGATCACAAATGCAGACATGGTTTTATGTTTACGCTGCGCGATGCAACGCAACGCGTAAAAAGACAGTACAAGTCATTATAATTCATAATTATGTCCCCACTGGATGCAACGAATGCCTCATTTATAATGGGTTTTATTGTTTTTGAATCATCGCTCCGGCCTGACAGGGCATCATCACAGTATGGTAGGGGCGTAACATTTCCGTCACACACTTGAGGTATTCGGCCAATCATAACGCACTGGATAGCTGGCCAATCACAGCACACCTGGCTTTTCAGACTGATGAGCTTTGTAAAAATCGACGCGTTTCAGAAAGGCAGGGCATAGAGGAGAAACAATAACGTACAGTATGTGGAAAATAATGTGTTTTTTTTTACCTTAAACTGCATAAACATTTCATTACACCAAATACACAAAATAATGTTCTTTTTAGCAACATCATATGACCCCTTTAACAGACATTAATATAAGACAATACTGCAAAAACCGTTTACTGTCAAGCATTATATTCCCGTTATATATTTATTGTCCAACATTCCAAATTTTTCTGTCATTAATTTAATTTCATATGTTGGAATTAATTCAGTGTTTATAATGCCAACACTTGAACTTAAAATATTTTCAACCAAAACTGACATGGTTTCTACAGAGCAAAAGGTTTTGTGAAAAAGGGGAAACCTTTAAAATAAAATCTGTACAATTAACGGTTAAAAGGAATTGATGATCACTAGTCTAGTGATTGTACGTTATTGCGGTCATCGTTCAAGCTGTATTTCAGCTTTAATGTACGGTTTCTTAAACAAAGCAGCTGATATTTGCCATAGCGACAGCAAGAATAGTGGACTGCCGAGTCGCTTTCACTCCAGAATGGCGGAAGCGTAGGGCTGCTGCTGGGCGCCACTGTTGCAACGGAACGTTCTATTGGCTTTCACTTCTTGTATCAGTTCTTTGATGAAATGACGTTCCGCCCTTCTCTCTCTCTCTCTCTCTCTCTCACACACACACACACACACACACACACACACACACACACACACACACACACACACACACACAGAGAGAGAAGTCTCTAGATCTGACGTGAGCTTATGCTAACTGCTGGAGGAGATCGACCGGATGAATAAACATGCATTATTCACACGGATCAAAATCTGTACTAAAACATGATGATCCTCTTTAAAATAACCCTTGCAGTACAACTGTTTGCACAGATCGCAGGTTACAGCACAGCATGTCAAATTAGCTGCTAACGCGTTGTTAGCTTACTAGCCCTTACTATCATTGATGCGGTTTAATGAGCTACACTGAGTAGACTTACAAGACTTGTAAGACGTGCAAACATATAACACTTTTAACCCGGTTTATTTTTGCACAATAATTTTTAAAAGCCACATCTTCATAACATGTAACGAAAAATATTCTATTTAAGAGTTACTTACTTTCTCCATATCGTGGGCATGAGGTTCCAGAATCTACCAAGACGCTAGCGTCGCCCCGCCTCTCTGCCTATTATCAATTGTAGCCCAGAGAAGGGTTGCCAGGTATTGTAGTTTAACCTCATAAAAATAAAGTTGTATAAGCGTAATCATGTTATGTCAAGATGCATAACTGAAATAAAACAACAATCTAAAAACTATTCGTAGCCGCACATCTTACTTATTTAAAGTTATTATGCATTCATTCATATTAACAGCTCATAAAAGTTGGAATATGTAATCATGAAGCAAAATCGGTCTCTAGAAAATTCTGGTACCGATTTACGAATCTATGCTTAATGCATGGCAACCCGAATGAAAAAAGATGTGAGAAGAAGAACTTAAAATTGTTACTTTTCTCACCGAATTAACAGCTCTGCAGTCTCTGATTGGATGAATGGTTGACTAGTAAATTAACGAGCACTACGGTTAATGAGAAAAGTAATGCTGAATGTTCCAGAATTGTTCTGAAATTCTGTGCGTTGCAGCACGCCATGTCCATATGAAACATATTTTTCAGCACAATGTCATACTTCTCTAATAATTAACGTAAAGTTTTTGATTTATAAAGTTTGTAAATCAAACTGGGGCTTGTTATTGCATGTTTTATTCCAGTGAATATTTGTAATGTATTCTCAATCAGATATTGATGCACATAATTCTAATTAACATACCTTAAAATCTTGACTATATAGCACTGACACATAATGAGCGCCGTGATTCCCACAGGATTTTGTGAGACTGGTTTGTGGACCTCATATATGGGTGTTTCTACGGGCACTTTTAAGTCCCAGCACTTAAATTTTAGATGTATGTTCAAATTTGACATATGATGCTTTATAAATATATTCACAGTGTCATTACACACCTTGACAAAAATATAGTTAAATATAGTTAAAAATCCCTTTTAGTTTAGATGATTTACACATTAAAATCGCAACATCTGTCATAAAAAGCTAAATGTTATCTTTAGTGTGTATGGAAACAATTGACATCTAAGGTTACTGTCTAAATTTTACATGGCATAGAGAAAACCATGAAATCCCCTATTTTATGTTATTTTTTAATATCCATATTTACAAGACCACACTTGCTCTGTGTTGCAAGGCATTTGATTGGCTGTTCGCTACTGATGTCATACATTCATGTGTACGCACTCCACAAACTCAGGATCAGTAGTTCACAAAGAAAGTTGATGATCACAATCATGGTATCAACAAAGCTGGATTGGAGTGGTTTGGTTTTGTCAACTCGAAACTAATCCTGTAACTTGGAATTTGTTCAGCTAACATCATGGTACAGGCCCCAGGTCCCAGAGTGGATAAATCTGAAAACGACACCTTTGTGTTTTCGTGTGTACAGCCAATCCATATATTTTGTGAAACAATGATGTCATCACCCCACGTCTCAAACCTAGTCAGACACTGCTACCTCACGTAAATGCAACAACAACGACAAAGGTGTACTACATGCTTGTATCCATGCTGCAGAAGCTACTGAGCCTATTAGCTTTACTAACTTTACTAGATTTTCTGGTTGTTGTGTTGGGTTTGTATACAGCACGCAAGATTTGTATATTATATCCAAAAATGCAATTTAGCCATTTGTTGTGATAAACAGGAAAGGGTGTCCAGCTGAATTCAATTTGAGTTTTGTTAGACGAATATAAAATGCTTAGTATATCGCGGCAGCCCTCGTGTGAAGACCGAAGAGTGTAAAGACCATTGACTCTACCGTTCGACTCCACCGAGCAGGCACATAAGTATCACTTTTGAATCATTCTCTTTCCTACTACTTCTTTCCCTTCTGTTTTCAGTTTTTATAACCAATTCTTACTATGTGTTTCCAGATCCCTACTATCACTACCACTAGCAAACCATGCATCACACACTCTAGGCAGCGCAATCCTAACAACCTGCGCACTTTGCCTATGTCTAC